AGTCGTTCTGTCATGAGAACAGAATCCTCTTCAAGGGCTAAACATTGTTCGTAAATTCGTCAAACTGAAAACTAACCAGAATTTTTGTATTGACGGTTCGATTTAAAATCCGGTTATCGTCTTGATCGCGCTTCACATTTGCCAGGAATCATTGGTGGTTTTTACTTTGAGGAGCTTAATAACACATTCCTTCTACAAAAGTCATAGAATGGAGTAAAATTCTCCCAATTCTAATCGATATTGATGCGCATTAGCCGTCACTGAGAAAAAAAATACGATTGCTTGCTGTGAAGCTGATGATGGGATTAAGCGGATCTCGCTAATTTTTCTGACTTTTGACCGCTTCATGTAAGCTTCTGTTTGTTTAGGAGGCGACGTTGCATTTAAAATACCGCAATAATCACGTCTTTGAGCAAAAGTACATGGTTCTTAATTGAATCACCGTCGAGAAGAATAGGAAACGGCCGCTGTCGGCCTTGAGTGAGTTCTAAGTCTCGAAGTTGTATTGCACCACAGCGAAAAGCCGAGTACCGTCCATTCAGGATTGGGAAAGATTCATCCATCAAGGGAGACATGCAGTTAATGTCTTTTCAAAGCCGCATACCATTTGAACGCTGTAGGTTTTTGAATAAAGAGAAGTTAGGCACATTTTTGATAGTTCAGGAGAAGCATACAGTGCTTCACCTTTCGAAGCTAGGCGGCCTATACGTTTGAGTTCGTCTAGATTAAAAGTCACAAATTTCGTTTGACAAGTTGGATAGACGAATTCTTAATTGTACAGCCAGTCATAACTAGAAAGAATGAAGAGAAAATATGATTGCAATTGAATGCTCGTAAATAAACAGCTTTAGGAAATATAAACAACCGTACTTTTCCATTTGGAAGCGAAGACTACTAGGTTCTTAGCTAAAAACACTCTATACCAACTAAAACTACTCAGAACTGCTAATAGCCCACGAAGCAGATGTCACTGATTTGTGTGTTCTTTGAGGGTAGAAAAAATGGACTTCTTTTGTTTTGCTAAGCATGTTGTTTCTATCAACTTCGATGCACGGAGTTCTCTTTCGGGTGATTACTCGACATCGTTGATGCCTTACCCTGTCTCCTTCATTATCATCAGCAACAACAGCTCCACGATCCATTCGAATGAACGACACGTTGTGTCGTCCGAGATTCCGCCGATAAGCATTGACTCATCTAAACAATCGCCTGGACTTTTCGCGAGGCAAATATGAGGATACTCAGCCGAACTTCTCCTGTTGCGTGGGCAGACTTCAATTCCAAGCTACGTCTTCTCCTTTCCTGACCACGTTTCCACTTCAGAAAACTTTCATGCTTCTATTTCAGCTTTATATCAGCTTGCGATACCATTTCTCCGCTTTCACGCCTCTTGCATTCATCTATTGAATTATTAAGTGGAGTGATGTAGGTATTGTTTCCTCAAATGTCATTAAGAACTAGGGAAAACAAAGTGTTTGGTAGTGTTTATGGTTAACTAAGACGTTGTTTTCTCCCATTATTGTTTCAAAGGTGTTATTGACTGCACTATTCTTCCACAGGCACGGACAGAGTGTTCGGCCCCACACAAGAATCAAGGCCACTGACGAGTACAGTAGGGGTGTGTTGATCTTGTGAATTTCAATTGTGTTTTAACCCTTGCATTGACAAGATAGGCAAAGCCACCTTCATTCAAAATTTCGATCTTTCAGCTTATCTATTTCTCCCTATTATTCCAAGCTAAAGCTCTAGACGACCGTTTCATTTCCTTCCCGTTTTCCAATGCCACACCTTACCACCGTATGACAAAGTAACAAAGAAGTCTCATTTTGCATATCTCTTTTCACTTACAATTCTTCAACTTAAGCAATTGTTCACTATGGTTTGAAAAATTAGTTGTTTTCTACTTTGAGTCATACGGTCACCATAATTGCTTAAGTTGCCAACCTTTTTCTTTATCTATTATCTAATTTCTAATTCCTTCCTAACGGTCATCAAAACCGAAATCCTACGGACACCTTCCCGTTCTATTGATGGCTAAATTTTTACCATGTTCTTCTCTTCCTTCAGCTGAAGCTATTCATTTTGGATGCTCGCGAGCATATATCAGAAGATTCCAAAGGACATGTGGGAACATCAGGTACACAGTCCTTTAACGGCATCTTTGAGTATAAGGAGATGCACTAAATGATAAGTGAGGAAGGATACCATTCGTGTGACTTGACTGCATATTTCAAAGAATGTTATGTCTCAGCTTTCCCTACAGGAACGTTGATACATTATTAGATAAGAATTCTTGGAATCAGTTGTAAAGTGTATTTTTAACCAAGGGGATAGCTAAATATGGGTTGTAATCTAAAAAAAGAAAGCGATTGAAATGTCAGACATCGTCAATCAAAATTTTTCCACAGTTCTGATAAATATCGCAGTATTCAGAAAGTTTCCACACTTGAAAGACAGTGAGATGCATATAAGTGGTGCCTTGTTAAGTGTAGTCTCGGCTAACGAATTTAACTCTGGAGCAAGATTTGTGATAGCAAACTCAGTGGAAGTGGAAGTCACTTCTGTTATGAGCCGATCTCTAACACTTGCCCAGGAGACGTTCGGTTTGGGAATGCATCACGTTCCTTCAAGGTTTCATCCCATTTGTGTCCCTTTAATAAGCGCATCCGGCAGCCGCGCACCTAATTGATGTCAGTTCCAATCAGTGCATGCATCACGTCGAATAAGTAGCTACAATACGCCAGATGACGAGGTCAGCAAGCGGACCTTCAAGGCAGTGCTTTGCTCAGCAGCTGCTATTCTCTGATTCGTCACATAATTTGTAGGTGCCAGAAGCCTTCTAAATCACAGAGTCAGTCGGCAGGTTTCAGTAAACATAGAGAACATCTTAAATTCACTTCGTGTACGAAATTAGAAACCTCGTTCAAGCTAATTTCAGTTAAACAGCCGTTTTCTCGCAAACGTCTCAGTTCTCATTCCAGTCTCGATGGACTGGTGAAATCTATACCAGAAGCAGTTTATCACTGATTTTGTTATGAAACTCAACATATCACTAGTCCAAGCATATTTTCCTCACTGTCAACAAGTCAGAGTGAAATATAGAAGTGAGGCCAGTGACGGGATCTTAAATATTCCTTAATAGTCACGAGGAAACGATGATTTTTGAAAAAATATAGATAGTTGAGATATTTCCGTTTGTAAATGAAAGTGCTTTTTAGGAATTGATGAGGAATTTAAAGATTAGAACTTGCCGGTGACACCTTGCCTTTGTTCGCGTCTCGTCTGTCAAGCTAACTCACACTGAAATTGAATCCTTCATCGCCAAACAGAGCAGATTCCCAGCGATATCCGCCATACACGTCGGCTTAGGCTGTCAGCTGGGCCGATTCTTGGCACATCAGCTGAGACCAGCCGAATATTCCATATTGCTATTATGGCACTATTCACAAAAACTATTCTAAAGATGATGACTAGTTCAACAGAAACAGCACGTTTGGGTCAACCTTACATTATTGTTACAAATTCCATGACGTCTATTACATGCCTACTTAAAACGGGGTTGGCATACTGTTTCTAGAAAAACTCGGAAATATAACGGCCAGTTTGAAAAAAATTAGATGGACTCGATTTCTGGCCAATCATCAAAATCTTAAAGTAAAACAAATGGCTGGTCTTCATGGTTAACATAAACAGTTCAGAGATTAGTTCTCGTCTCAAAAATGATTCTAATTCTTTCCCGAACAGTGATTTCTACTCCATTCCAAGTTTTTTCTTCACCAACTTATAGGTCTAGTGGTTAAGGAAAGATCTCGTTGGAAAATGATTTAATCCATAAAAAAGTACTTTTCTTCGGCTGGGCTCCAAACACTACCCAATTGGAGGTCGTCTCAAGAGTGCGTGACTATGACTCTTTATGTTACAACTGTAAAAAAAAGTTTTAATCCTCCCACGCTTTGTGCTTATTTTTATGTCCACATTTCACAGCAAGAGCGTTAGACACGGAAATTTTCTGAAAAGAGTCTGGGTAGCAGTCATATGATGCTTTTATACGGGATATTCATAAAATTCAAGACCGTTTCATTTTGCTGAAGCAAGTGACTAGTTGAAAAACTGCAGCGATTCCAACACCATTGGTTATTCAGTTTTTTGAAAGTTTTAGTGAATACGTTCGTCCTTGTTGCAAAACTAGAGAGGACAGAACGAGGAGTTGTCGCGATTATACTAAGAATTAATTACCACGGCAACAAGTGATTGTTTCATTAGGGCGCACAACGTGGACGGTAGTTCGTCTCAGCAGGTGGATTGGGTGATGTGTTTCTGCGCTGCTGAACACGAATAGCAATTAGAAATCGAAAGAAGGATTGTCGTCTCACATGAGATGAAGCAAGTCTACATGTGGTAAATATTAGTGCAATAATAAGTGAATAAACAATACGGACGAGGAAAGATGAGAAAAATCGAAAACGGAACGCTGCCGTGGAACGTGTATATTCAACCGAAACCCCCCATTACGCCCCTTTAGCGCTGATCGCATTCGTCTCAGGACCGTCGTTCAGCGCGGAGGAGTGACTTCTTTCCACGAGCCAAACATTCCAATCATCGAACACGAAATTATTACAATCTTTTCGTTCTATTTATGCGCGTCTGTGTGCGAGTGTGTGTGTGTATGTGTGTGTGTGTATGTGTGTGTGTGTGTGTGTGTGTGTGTGTGTGTGTGTGTGTGTGTGTGTGTGCTTTGGTTCGGGCAGCCGACTGCGCGCCCGACGTCGGCCCGCCTCCTTGCTACCGTACTCCCTGCACATGTGGCTTGACCACGCCCCTTGCAGACCGTCCGCCGTCCCTCAACACATCATCCTTCGCCCTAACTCATCTCTTGAAAGACTATCGACAGACTCTCCCAACTGTATTTGCTTCAAATTAACACTGGCAAGCAATAACCTCTAGAGTACCGTGAGAGCACCTACCACAGCGTTTGCATTTTCAAGCTGGCGACCGTCTGCATGAGGGGTGGTTTCGAGAGGTTCGAGCTCTCGGGACCATCAGAAGAGGAATGTCCGCTTAATTATTGGCCAAAGAACAGTACTCTCGACAGTCCGGACAGTGAGTTTGTCTTGTTTTATGAAAATCTCGTTGAGATATACAGTGCGATTTTGCTTTCTTTTATTACCTATGCTACTCATTAAGATCATTGTAGTCCTCAATTCTAATTCTTTTCCTGTCTTCTTAACACTATATTTATTCTCTGCGAGATGCATTGATTATTTTAATACCATGCCAATGAGAGATAAGCCGCTCACCAGCTTACATCTCGTCGCCTGCTTACCTATCCGTCAAACCACCTCGGATTATACAGATTTCTCCAGTTAGCATTCATTCCTCCTATTGCTACTTTTTGAGTGATGGCTTAAATCTTTTCTACTCGTCCTACTCATTATTTCTCTAACACTTTTTAAAATTTCCTGCTAATCGATGAAGAGCACATATATAAAATGCAAAAAGAGCACGTTTACGTCGTGGTAGTCTATCGATTTAGGCTTATTCAAACAGCTGTAATGTTTCATGAATGGATTTCGGCTCAATACCATTTCAAAATCGCCTTTCTTTCCTCATCTGCCCTTAATGCTAATGGAGATAAGGATGGAAGATGCCGTAATACATTTTGACGATTCTCTCTTCCGCTCCTGAAATGCGCAAGTGGTTTTTGTCGTTTTCCAGCTTTTAGCTGGCAGTTCTTGAATGAGCCGCCTTCACTAGGTCATTCAAGAGGTCGTTAACTTCGCCTGCTAATCATCATTCTTGGCCGTGCTATCATTAGCGCTCTTCCAAACCCCTGCTTAAGCTCGTTCATAACTATTTAAGACGCGACAACCACCTGCCTGACCGCCATTCATCCTTCCTGACTTTAGATCCATTCTTCACTACCATAATCATTTTCGGAAAACTTTCATAGAGATGTTCTTCACATTTGCAACCAACTGATGCTTTCATGCTTTCAAATAAGAACATTTATACAATAGCAGATGAATTGTTATTAACAGCCTGCTGAAAGAAACTGGAAGTCGTAGACGTAGAGATTCTGAACAAAGGCCATGATTAAATTCTGTCATTTTTAACTAAAATAGCTGTAATTTGTTCGTCAGTCGAGACTTCCCTGGAGAAATCACTGCAAGGCGAGTGGCAACGATAGTTAACGTAAATTTTACGACCATGTTTGGCTTTTTTGTCGGAAAATGAATTCGAGTGGATTTTTCTCTCTCAGCTTCAGTTATCGATTCAATTGTTTCAGAACATCGCCTAATGTCGGTTTGTTCTGCTTGTCACTTGGGTGAGTCTGTTCAATTTTGCTTCCAGTCAAGTTCTGTTCTCGTCTAATTGAACAATTTTTGTTTAGAAATTGTCGATCGTTTCATATTGCGAGTCCATCCTAACCTAGAATTTCACGCTTCGTGCCTCAAGGTAAGTAGAAATCATTCAACTGGAAATTTTGGCCGCACAGCTTGGTAAAGCTGTACCGAACTGACTATGTGGATCGAAATTCGGCAATCGGACCCAACTTCTGATTTCATACATTTTACCAGTCATCATAATCACTAATCCGAAGCCTTGTCAACCATTTCTTTTAACACGGCGAATTATTCAGTGGCGAAAAATTTTTGTTATTACGGCTTTAGGACGACACCTACAACGAGTGCTGCTTGTCCGCATCCAGAAATTTAGATCGGGAAAATCGCGGTATATGCGTGACAGCATTAGTGAATCATGCCACCTGCGCACCTCTAAACTGACCAATTGATGAATGAATGATGAGGCGTTTTCAATGCGCGAATACACGTTTCATTTGAAGCGTAAGCTCGTCGACTAACTTCGTGCTGAACCCACTGATGATGTTGTAGTGCTGCGAAACATGACCCAGGGTTCCTTTTCAGTGTTCCGAGTGCTGCAGACCACTTGACGAGTCTTGCACGGCTTTCGTACGCAATGGCGTCACCTACTGCAGAGAAGACTATTTCCGGTAAGTGAGATCATTCATTATACGTGCCTTTCTGCATACGTTCATATTTTGGTTGGATTTGTTTTTCATTAGTGTTGTGTCGCACTTTGTAGTTATCGCTGCTGGTCAAATATCATACTGATCATGTTCGTGAGAAGGCGCAGTGGTGGCGATATTGTTTCCCTTATCTAACGAATCACAAGCCTCTCTAATACTTCTTAATATGGTAGATCTTTTACGCAAACCACAGCATTACTCTCCCATTTTTGCTAAGAGTTCACGGAATCGTTAGGAGCTTTTCTTTTATTACGAAAGTGATCTTGTCGAGATATATTTGTATGTATACTTACATTGGTAATCACGTGTTACTGTTTCAAAGGAGGAAATTGTAGTAATTAGGAATGCTGTGCTGATTTGGCCACAGCGGAACTAGGCGTGTGTCTTACAGTACCAACATCTGAAGCCATTGCCTGGTTTTAGAGAAGTTCACCGTTAATATATAGCCCAATTTGTTACAGGAAAAAGTAAAGTTTCATTCCATGGTGGAAGAACAAATCTATATTTGTTAGAGATCTTGAAATCCTGTCTAAAAGTGACTTTTTTCTTATCAGATTTTTTTCGCATTCACCATCAATGCTTGACTTCTTCCAATGATCGTTCGAGTTTCGTTACATCGGCAACAATTGACCTTTGCAAGTCGTCCTTAGTGTTACGGACGAACGGGAGCGCCATGAAGGGGGAAATGTGTGCGACTCGAGAGGGCCCTTCTCCTTTTACCTATTCACACTGTCCCTATTCATGAGCCGCCTTATGTACACATTACGGTTAGGGTAGCCGGAAGCTGCTGTTCAATGCACCGCATCGAAAGTTTTTTCCAAGTTTTCCTACTTTCGCTCACTACTATCTTCTTCAGTTTTCATTACCACACTTTATTTAAATTACGATTGCCTTTTATGCAAATGTCTATATGTATATTCTAAGTACATTAGCTTGTCCTATAAGATGATGACTGTCTCATTCGGATTCTAATATTTTAAATAAAATCCTTTCCTTCACAGCTTTCTAAGGTCATGGCAATTTCACCCATGAAAGTACCTTCCTTTTCTAATGTGGGAAGAAATAAAACAAACACGCTGGAATCTTGAATTCACTATATCGTCAATGATAATGCCACTGATATCTGGAAATTAGTTGGGAATCCTATCCTATATATCGGGGCATGGTGGTATTCGAGTAATGCATGAAGCACCAACGACGATTACTACTACTGTTTACTCTGCAATTACTGTTGTTCATTCATGCGCTGTATCGCCTCTAACTGTCTCCATCACATGAAAATCCCAGCGGCTGTTTGCAGTAACACTTGAGGCGTCGATGTGCGAATTTCCCATGTTCTCTGTGGCGCTTTGTACGAGTCGGCATGGATCTGGCGGCACGTGCCTCTGTCCTCCGTTTGCTCCTCTCCAACGTCTTCATCATCAGCGCTCCTCAGGAGTCGTCTATCACCTCGAACATGTGTGCTAATTGTGGTGGATTACTATAATTCGGCCTGTGCTATGACCTTAGGTGACTAGTAAAAAATGAGAAAATCATCGTTACCGCAGGATAGAACAAATATAACACAACTAGACATTGTCCCCAACCTCATAAAAGGAAAGTATAAGAAATTTACACACCCACTGCTTTCCTTAACCTAAAAAGAAGTTCGAGAATAGTCGGTTACTGGAGTGTTTAATTTTATTACTTCATGGAGCAATGCGTAGCAATAACACACGAAGACAAAAACCACCAATGAATGCACCACGCGAAAACGTAAGTTAAAGAAAAGATTTAGCAACTAAAGAAATACAGAAAGGCATCATTGCCACAAGTGAACTATGAGAATTTCGTCCACTACATCCCTTGCTTCATTTTGTGATACATTGTTTAAGAAAACTGCTCCTTCGATAGCAAATATTAATAAACACCTCGAGAACCTACCGACGCCTGCCCAAAGAGCTTACAGAGTTGTAGAGAGTATTTCAGAGCATAAAGGTGACCCAGTCATGGCATTCACTTATATCTTTAATCCCGTGCTTCTCTTTTAAATAGACGGATAGTAGGAGTATTGCTCTGACTTAGCAACAACAGCGCTTGCGTCCTACAACGTTAAAATTTGAAGCCGTTATCTGATTTCGAAAAACAAGACTTATCAAAAGTATTTGATGATTTTGTAATCGAGGAAAATATATGGTCGTATTGTAGCAAAGGAAAAAATCCGTTTTAATGTAAACTACTAGAGCTTATTTGAAAGTTATCATCAAAAGAAACTTCCATCTTATGAAAGGAGTCCTTATCGAAAAGATTCCCAAACTGCAAACTTCGGCTCTTTTGCAAGCCGAGCACTAGAACGCTTAGCGATGTCACTTTCCTCATCGATTCATCTGCATAGAGATTAGTCGATTAGTCTATTAATGGGAAAATTGGATAAGGATAGAACACAACTAAGCCGGCATAACACGTCTACGTTTGCGAAGGTCGCTGAACATCGAAAGAAAACCAGTCCGGATTGGGCTGAGTTCAGAGCGGAAGCAATACGGTAATAATAGTCACCACAACCGCGGCTTCTTTGAGTTTGCGGCGTTTGACGTCATCGTTACAGTATCCATACGGCTTTCTGTGGATGCCGCTAGAGGAAAGACGTTTTGAAGCAGGTCAAGCATAGCGGAAGTTGCACAACTAATGAGTACCTCTTCGTCGTTGTGGCTCCGCGTTTTCAGCACGTCATCCATTATTCAAGTTCATTGATAATTCGTTCATTGGCTTGTTAAATTTTCATTGTCACATCAAACCACCACATTAGAATGGATAACAACTTATCGCCGGCGTTTAGACATAAGTATGCGAATGAATTCCTACTGGTACTGCTGGAATCGCCGCTCCTCGTGTTTCCGATTATTTGAATACTCGAATATATTTTCGAATAATCGAAAGTGCAGTGCTGATATAATGAATTTAGGTTGTTCGGCGCGAAATGCAATCGTTGTGATTTGCCGTTTGATCGAAACGAACTGGTGATGAGGGCCAGACATGCCGTCTACCATGTTGCGTGTTTTTCATGCGTTGCTTGTGAGCGTCTACTCAAAACCGGAGACGAGTTTCAGGTAACAAGTTTCCCGATGATGGCAAGGAAGAGTAAGCAAGCATAAATACGATAAACCAAAACCATTACTATCATTTCTAGTAGAGAAGACCTCTTCTAGCCTAGAGTCTTCAGTTGAGATAAAAAACTCTATTCTGTACTGTTTTTCTTTATAATTTTTCTTCCATAAGAAGTGTAAACGGAATAACTGCTTTCTGTTGAATTTCCTTCCTCATTCGGAACTAAGCTATTTTCACATGGGTTGATGAAACTATTGCCTAACAATTTCTAAACTGAATAGTAGAAAATTGGAACTTCTGAATTACCTCGTCGAAAAATTTCCAACCTAGAAAAATTCAAGCCTACGAGTTTAATGAAAACATTTGTCCAGATGAAATTGTTGAAAACTGCCACAAGTGAAATCACTTCAGTTTCGTATCGAAAGATGACGAGGACCCGAATCACCTCCACGCAAAAATGCCAATCGTAATCATTGTTCTGGTGCATGAAAACCATCAAATAACACCTCGTTTCCTCCTGGAATTATAAATTAGAACTCCGCTGTGATTATAAACTAAGCGAAATCAATTTCACCCCGATAGTAAAGATTGTAGCGAGAATTTTCCAGATTAAAGGCAATTTGCTTTACTGCAGAGCAGACTGCGAAGCTGGAAATGTGCCTGAGGTGAGTGGCTTTCTAGATTTCTTACACTTCCTACACAGATTTTTCATTTAGCCATCGTCCATTCCGACGCCGTCAATGTTCACCAATGACGACTCGTGGGAGACGTCTACGATGACATCGTTAGACCCCACTAATAGTCCACCACTCTCTGTACGGTATGTTCTACCATTAGTTGCGTCATTTTCCACTGCCTCACTTCAAATGTAAAGGTTCAGACCAGTAAAATATGATACTAACTCATAAATAGGAAAAGATTAGGCGAAACCAAAAGTATAACGTCAGTAAATATTTTCTAAAATTTTATGAAAACAGCTCATTAAGCTGTGGACTGGTCAGCCGGGAGAGCTTCTTATATTATATGTTACATAAATGTTGCACTTTAACTGTGATTCATTTCGTTCTCATTATAAGTTTAGCTCTCCAAAATCGGATGACATGAATACTCCACAGAACAATGGCTTTCATAACACAAGCGGTTCGTCAGGAGGCTCGTCTGGGAAGAAGAAAAAAGACAAACAGGTGCTTCACCAGTGTTTTTTCCTCCGAATCTAGAGCAATAAAAAATTTATGTCAGGTCATAATAAAGCACAGCTTAAGGTGACCAAAGCAGAGTGGTACATGTGTATAAAAGTGGAAAGTTGGACAACCAGAAATGATTGTTTTCGAACGAATTAGGGATTTTGATAAGAAACTTAGGTTAAAAATTCCTACTACCGACTTTCTATTAAACTCGACGTTGATCAAATAGGTTAAAAGGGGCCTAGGTTGAAAGTTTTCATGGGATCCGCTTTGGAAACGGAGTGCAAGCAAACAGTTCTGAAGAAAAAAGTATTGGGTTGGGTCTGCTTTATCACAGTTCATTCACAGACGACAAGGGTACGAACGGTGCTCAACGAACATCAGCTGTCAATTCTAAAGAAATGCTACGCTCTGAATTCTCGACCTGACGCTCTACTCAAAGAACAACTAGTTGAAATGACTGGTAAGTTTCAACTTTCAGTTATTCAATGTCCAAAAAGTGACAAAACAGCAAAAAACGAGCGCTTATTGTGAATTATTTTCCTTCTATTTACAAGTTAAACTTGATGTGGTGTTGATAAAAGGACTTCGTGGACGACTAGCTAAAGAATGGAAATTGTTTCAGCGTTAAACGCAAGGGTTATACGTGTCTGGTTTCAAAACAAGCGCTGTAAGGACAAGAAACGGCAGATTCAGATGAGAGATATGGCTGTGAACGCCGAGAAGGTGACATTCTTCCCAGTTACTTCTTTATCGACCACAAATGAACTCATGTGACTAGTCATCTCAAATCCCATCACTGCAGTTGCGCCATCCGATGACGTTGTTTGATGCGTTTATTTAACACAATGGTCCGCCATTGCACACTTGTGTAAACCGTTCGCAATTACTTACTATTTACTTCAATACTTCAGTACTCCGTAAGTACACTAATCCGCTCTTCATAATATCCATTTGCTTTTGTGGTCATTACTCAACTATACCAGATAGCCTAATAGAAAAACTCGCCATAACAGCCTCACTGAAAACAAAAATTTGGCCCAGCGGCCATTGACATTAGAGGTTCCAATAAAATCCCTGTATAACTTCGATGGTGTCAACATGAAGTGGTTTCCTGGATTTCCCTAGGTGATCGTCATTCTGTGAACGAGTTAATTTGCCCTGAATAGCTGCACGGTATAGACCGTTTCGCAATGCGTTGAGTTGATCTGCCTAGCTTACTCTTAGCCAGACGTCGTTTGTGCATTGAAGCGATTAGCCGAGTATTGTTACGCGCTTGGCGACGTAAAAGTGCGCGAAATTCAAAACAAAACACTCGTTGAACCGTGGGAAATTTCCACATTCACTACTGTAGAGAGCGGGACGGATGAAAAACAAAAGCTCGTATGTGCTCGTCCAGACTGAATAAAACCGCTTCCATGTCATGGGGAGGTGTCGGAAACAGTAGTGCACGAGAATCCCCACCACAGTCTAGATATTGTCCATGACCTTATTTCATCATTCTATAATTTCCGTCTTCTTTCCGTTGGCACATGCCTACATCGTTTGATGATCTCTTTTAAAGAACGTGGCGTAGTCATCTAGAATCTAATAACATGTTGTATGTTTACAGTGATTACCGTACCGCGTGACACTTTTGCAGCATTACCGTATCCCATTAATTAGTTCTCTCTCTGGCGATGCGCTCCGCCACACGCCGACGGACATACTCACTGTTAATTCGATCACCAATTAGAAGGCTGCGCATCTACGACTACTGAGATGTTTTGCCTCTTTCTGCACTTGGCCCACTATCAGCCTGAGGTTGGATCTAATTTAGAACGTTGTGCATGGAGCGGAAAGCTATACGAAAAGATGGGGAGAATCGATTTCGGCTTGATGGTAAATTCTGAAAAGGGTGCTTTGAAATCAGCACAACTAGTGCTAGAGGTGCTGGCCAAAAAAACACGAATCACTTAAATACCATGAGCTTTCTCTGGTACACGTAATCAACTTTAACTGAAATCCCAACTTTCGTCTGTGAGTTGGATTTGTTCCAAGCTGGATTCGTGCAAGGATTATCCTGAATAGTGATAGATAGGCCTGTTCGCGAAAGCTCGCAAGGATTTGAGGTAATAATATATTGGCGTCTCAATGTTGAAGCAGTGAATGTGTAACCAACAGCTCGCCATTATAGCTTTTTATACATGTACATCGATAAGTACCTATGCCAGATAACTATAAGATAACAGAAGGTCCTTAGACGCACATACCTACTAAAGGTTTCAAATCTTCTACACAAATCAGTATCATCCAGCTCGTTTCTTGAGTAAAAATGTATTAAATAACGATTAGAAATTTTGAGCTTGGCGTATCATACTTCCTTTACAAAATTTCTATCGAAGACTTGAGGATCTTTGACACTATTTTCTCGCTCGTCATTTCTTGCCCCATCAAGAGCATAATTAGCTTGTATGGGACGCCTCTGATCTGTCGTCAATTCATCGAAGGAAAAAACGACGTCAAATTGAAATCGACAACAGTTTTTCTAGGATGGCAAGATGGTACCAGCACCTGGCGACGACCAGTTCCAATTTATGACAGCGAGAAATCATCCCTCGTTTGCTGCGATAGGACGTCTCAAATGGGAATACACCATTTAGGGCGTTGCAAACACTAACACCGTCCTGATGGAGGGATAAAACTAAGAAAAGGAGCTTCTCTCATTGCGATAAAATCTTCTGCACTGAAAAAGATTATGACAAGCTGATGAGTTCACATATATCCAGTGCCAGTTTGCATGTCTGTTTGGTTCGATTCTTACCAAGGTCCTTCCGCGTATCACTGATCAATACCCCTACCACCGTGCTGGCAGCTCTTTTCTTTCCTCTTGAAACTTCAATTGCGAATCATTGAAAGCGTGGTCTTGTAGAGAGATAGGAAAAATCTATTGGAAAGTGCATAATGTAAAAATGGTTGTAGAAGTAGAAACTTTTCCAGCAAGTCTCCTAATTGTGAGAATAAACGACTTTCGACGTTGTGATTAACGAGATGAACTCCAAGATCTGTGTTGAAACATTTTGATCAAATATAATACGTACCTCAAGTCCTTCATGCAGAACCGGGTACTTTCTCCCACTTTACAAAGAAATTGTGATAAAATAATGTTTTGATCTCAAGAAGTTTACTCCGAAAATCGGATTAACGCTACACATTGTGTAATTTGTCGACCGAACTTGTGAACATAGAGTAAAGTGTGTTAATTAGAAATTTTTGGACAAAACTTCTACTATAAGAATTGAATACAGTACCGATTTACCGATGCTGCAAAAGTGTCACGCGGTACGGTAATCACTGTGAACATACATGTTATTAGATTCTAGATAACTACGCCACGTTCTTTAAAAGGGATCATCAAACGATGTAGGCATGTGCCAACGGAAAGAAGACGGAAATTATAGAATGATGAAATAAGGTCGTGGACAATATCTAGACTGTGGTAGGGGGATTCTCGTGCACTACTGTTTCCTCTTGACTTTAGTGTAATCTGAATAGCAATTCTTAAAGTTCGAACGGGCCAACGAGGACGATGCGTGCAGCGTGCAAGCGATCTGTTTGTTCCCACACATCCACGATCCACTGGCATCATGCCAGCTCGCGCTTCTCAGGTTCAAGCACCTCTTCTGGACAAATAGAATACGGTGGTGCGCATATGGTGCAGTTGGCAAGTGCAGTGTTTATGTTGAATAGCCATCATTTAACCGGAGCACCAGCCGGTCGAGAACAATCGAACCATACCAAATCCGTCTCCAGTTCCCCGAAGAATCTTAGAGTCGGAACCTATGAGGGTATTAGTTTGAGAGTATTCTTCGCTAGGATGAAATTCCAGTTTAAACTTCTGTGGATAATTTTAGAGAATATTATTAGAATTTCATTCACCGCCCACTACAGAATGTTCTGTTGAAGCATTCTCGAATCTCAGAAGAAGTTGCTCTAAACGAAATGTTATTGTCCCAAACATAAGAAATTCTTTCGATCCCTCAGATGCATTTCATCAAAATTTAATGGAATTCAACTGTTTCCTTCTAATGCGCTCAATACATTTGTGAACTCCGCAAGAACTTACGTCATCTGCGATCGTGTGAATTAAGAAGTGCACTGAAAAAGGACCACTAAAATCTTTATTTGTCCTTGTAGCGCACAAGGAATACTCAGTGAGCTTAACCCGCTTTAAGGTCAGTTGAGGCACCACACTTCTCATATAAGGCCTCTTATAAGATGTATATGACTACATGCATGTGAAAGGCATAAGTCAATTCGAAACACAAGAAGAATGAAGCTTACTGAATCCACTTGCGTTCCAGGACTACGCCCGCAGTCGTTTTTAGCTGGCTTTTAACTACTTTCCACCACCCGAGAAAGGTTACGTTGTGCCTTTACCAGCTCCGTGCTTAAAGTCATTAACGTGGAAATTTCTATGTGCTCCATAATACGTATCTAGTAGTAACAATGATATGTCAACATTGCGTAATGTAGAGGAATTTCTGCTACCAGAGCACGAAAATGACGAGTAAAATTTGTAGTGACAGCAACTAGGACCATAGATGTTTGTCAGAAACAAAGCTAAAATAAAAAAGGGACAATTAAAAAATTTTAATTTCCTCACCTAAAGGGATGGCACAATATTGCTTTCATTAATGTCGTGTTCATACGACATTTTGGTATTTGGCAGAATCAGCAAGTTCACCAACCGATTACCTCTAATGGTGACCTCTGATGACTGTTACCTAGAAGAACATGGTCTTTGAGTGTAGGGCTTAGTGCACGGTAGTGTTATATGACACCAAGCCTCTTCTTACATCACTGGCGTTGCTCAGAGAGGATGATGTCCTATACGACGAAGCTTCCGAGACCGGTAATCAGAAATCCAAATACCGTGTGCTAGTCATCTTAGAGCAAATGCCGAACGATGGGCGATGCCAATTATTGAACATTTTGTGAAATCTAAGCGTCTGAATATTAACAAGAAATCCAGCAAAAATACCGAAAAACCATGACAATGACTCCGATTTTGGAAATTTTCTCATCTCTATAGATTAAATACTGACAGCCCACACCATTTTCATTCTAATACAACTTAAGTTCACTTGTTTTTCGAAAAAATATGATCGGCTGCAATTTTAGTATTTGTTCAGAAATACACCTCAACTGTTTATTGCCTTGTAATGATAAAGAGGATTATGGGAGTTTTACGGCTATGTGAAGCAAGGTGACTGCAACACTTAGACAGAACTGCCAACCATTCTGAATAGTATCTTAATATTTCCGCTCGGGATTTCCACCAAGCAAAAGCCTAAATGAAAGTTCTTGTACCAAATGCATGATGCCCTTCGCCTCCTTAGAGCAAGCTCGATTTACTCAATGATTAACCGCACAACAGAACATGCATGTACTTGTTTTAAAAGAGTTTGCTTTCAAAAGTATCAGTCTTAGTATCTAGCAAACACGGAGATAATCTCAACAATTTACAAAATTACAATTATCACAACTTAAAGCAACTGCTTTTACTTAGGAATTAAAGCAGACACGTGTTTTCTGCAGAGTTCAAAGCGCTATAAATGTTGAGATCTATTCAGTAATCAGGCAAACCTGGAATAATTCGCACTCGGGTAGCCGTAAGCTTCAAACGGACAATATGAGGCACCGTTTCAAAGCTGCGAGTTTCGTCAAAGCACTCCAAAATCATCATATCACTAAGACTGTGATATCTGAATAATCGCACTGGTATCTTCTTAATCCCGAAAAGATTTGCTGATCGTTGAAAGATGCAGGCCGGCGATTTCATACCGTGCCATTCAGGTATGTGCGCCACGCTCGGAGACTGGTGGAGGCCCAATGGGGTGAGGGGTGGTATGACGCAATCCGACCCTCTATTGACTGCCTTCGATTTAGCAAAATGTTTACATAGCCACCTTCTCGTTTTGGTGAAACGACACGCGAGATTATAACGTTCGCTTACTCATAGCGTCCACTTCAATAGGGGATTCATCACAACAATTTACTAAGTGATTTCTAGTACAGTTGAAGCGCGAAGATCAAGCTGGAACAAAACATCTTTGGGATGAATACTGTAGAATAAACTCAAGCTGACACTTCAAATAAAGTTTAAAGTTATTCAACAGATGTAGAGCATTCAGCAGCGTAATTTTATGAACAACTCTATAACGACTGTTCAGCTGTCAAACGTTCCTGGCGTTAGTTACGTAACGTGCGCCATGCGGTGCGATGCTCCTTGAGCTGCAGAACTCATAATTGGATGTATGTATTTAATTAGCGTTGATTAAAGACCGTCAGATGAGTTCACTCATCAGCATGTCGGCAGGTCAAAGGACAGCATGATACAGTCCGGGTAGGGATAATTGTGTAATTGCGACGACGACACCGCGCTGCACATACAGTCGTTGTGTATGTGGCACACAGCGACTGTCTTTTGGCGGTAAATTGTTGGTTGACATCGCTAATATGAAAAGACTTCCAGTTCACTGAATACCAGTGTGCCACGAAGGTCGAATACATGACAGATCCAATCGAAAATTCTCTCACTCAATGGTCCTGAATTGTTTATGAGACAGAGAAACTGTCTTTACTTCGATAAAGTACAGAATTCTTAACAAAGTGTTTGCTTTAGGAAAGAGCGCTGAATGGAGTTCGAATGGCTGGAGTTGGACCAATGATTGCCGGTGCACCAACAAGTCATATTGATCAATTATCGATTGGCCAGCCAATCGATATCACACATTATGCCCAATGGGGGCAATCAATGGATCCTTCTTTGGTTGATCCTTCATCTTTCGGACCATCGGCGCCTCCCATGGTCAGTGCACACCCAATATTCCTGAAAAATCATTTCCTTCTTTCCTTACTGCACTTCACTTTTGCTTTAATGCACAGTGCACATTCGTGATTCCGAATGTTGGAATGCAGCGAACCTCCAAGATGTTGGAAATCCTTCCCATTCATATACGGTATAGAGATAACTAGACCACCGTAACCTAGCGAATGAAAAAAGCCTGGACTCAATTCTGCCAAAGAAAACGACGTCTAGAAAAGCGCAAATCCGTGCAATAATCCGGTCGAATAACCAATATCCATTAGAATCGAATTTTAATTACATCGCGAACGTGTGGGCGGTTAGACTCCGCTGTGTTTCTCAGAAATTTTCAGGGAGATAAAATCCAAACGAAGCTTGGTTCTTTGACTCTCACGTTACCAAAATGACCCATAAGAAAGTAACTAAGAAGGTGGTGAAAATAGAACATAGAAAGGAAAAGGGGGCTTTAAAAGTAAGGTGTTAAGTCCCAACTGATACCAAACTAATGAAAACCTATGTTGGATTAAGGAACAACAATAACAGATTGGTTGCAAGCAAGCAGCCAGTATAGAGTAGTTCTGATAATTAGTCTAATTCTGTAAGCTGTTCTAGTCCCTATACTTCAAATATCGCCCGATTTTTCACCGAAATATTTCAATGAGAAATATATGACGTTTGAGGCCGCATAAGATGAGCAAACGAGTAGCACACCTGGCATACATGGTACGCGGCCCTTTCAGATCATCGTCGACAGCTGCATAAATAAGCGATACCTCAGACTTGACCGCTTAAGAAGTAGTGATGAGATCCTCGAGAACAACAGCATGGACAAAGGCACATACACACCCACACACACACACACACACACACACACACACACATACACACATGCAGGGATATATACATAATATATACATACAGGGATATATACATATGTACACACATACATAAGGCCACCCATGCATACATACCTACATACATACATACATACATACATACGTACTTGAATAACCGCTAACGAAGCGATTATCTGCTGTCTAGGAATAATGGCTAGAAACATAAAAAGGATAAAGCGCCCGACGTTGATCAATCTCTCTGAGATGCGTCATGTATTCAACTCCATTAATCCTCGCAGAGATGATTGAATGCATATTTGTCCCAAACAGTGAATTGTCATGGCCTACCGATGTATCAAACAAGTCTGGCAGCAATTCGCTGGCCTCTGAAGGGATGAATGTGGATTGGTTCGACCATTCCTCATGGTCAAGCCAACTACTTTGTATGAATATACCGCAATACTATATGGTTTTAATAATACGTTTTAGACATGTTCAATGCTTAATCGGAAACTGGTATACAAAGTTTTTGAGGATCATAGTGCGAAGAAAATTGATTTGCTTGCGTCGATTCCAGAAATCCTACTTGTTGACTGTCTTTTTAGTTTCAGAATATTCGTGTCAATTAAGGTTAATTTCTTATTTTATTTACTGCCTACTACAATTTTCATGGCAGGGTATTAAGCAAAATCAACCACAATAATGCTGAGATATTTGCAAAACCCCGGATGGCGGATGCCTGAAGTGGGGATCGAACCCAATATTACCCTTTCCAGGGGCTACTTGCGAGCCATTGAAAGAAGCGTCGCTGAACTCCCGTTTTTAACCGTTATTTAAAACACCGGGTACAATTCAACCTGGCCCACTTAGTATTAAAACACTGTGATCTTAGCTAGCTAGTGTAATAGTGTTATGCAAGCCAAGGATGCGAACACAAATGCTTATGAAGGGTGGTGGCACCCTAGAATTTTAGGACCGAAAACAAATAACACTCGATAATGCATTCTGCAGCACAATTTTAACTTGTTTCTGTTTATATTAAAACTGACCAGTCACAGTGCACAAAATGATTCCAATACTTAATTGGAGCTGTAGTAGTAATATAGCACCTGGACGAGTTTACTTATCGTAAGTATGGCGGATTCGATGCAGAACCCTTTGAACTGAAGACAATCAAAAGGAGTTCATCATTCGTAACCGCGTTCCTTCTTTATCCTCCGTAAAGCAGAAAGTCTTAATGCAATATCGAACTGGAGATGAAAGTTATGTCATTTACATGAATCGCAGGTGTTGATTTCAGTGGACTTTTAGAGAGTTGCCAAAACCAGTGTTTGTCGTAACGTGACGCGCACTGGGAAAGAATGCGCAACTAACTTAGCATAGACCCTGATGGAACTTTAATAGAGAGCTCTTCCATATCTAGGGTGTACTATTCAGAAATAGCGCTTCTGACTATGTTCTCTGGACTCTCATGAACCCTCTTCAACAGACAAACTCTAAGGAAACTGAGACTCTTGAGAAACTCAGACCTCAGGCTAGATTCGAATCCGCGATTACCCTTTCCGTGGGCTCACGTGTTACCCACTGCACTATTGACGCCTGGCTTTGCCCTTCTCTTTTTGCCAGCCAGTTTTTCACATACGAGGCCCCCGGAAATGGTAATCGCGAGTTCGAATCTGGCCTGGGGTTTCAGTTTTGCAATTATCTCAGCGTCCTTGTGGTTATATTTCACATTATACCCCACCATTAAAAAATAATTAGCAGTAAATAAAAGGTTATCCATTGTGATTTGCGAAACTGAGAATTTTGCCACCCAAGTGTTGGGCACCTAACCCCAACACTCTTAGTGTTGGCGACTTCTGATAAGAATTTATGGCGATCGTAATTGGGTGTTAAAGGAAGATGTCTACAACAGAACTTTTCAACCACTCTACCAATGAAACCCTTCAGGCTTTGTAGGACTGAAAATATAAAGATCGTTACTAGTTGTTAGTGCACTATACTATCTCACTTTTTCCTTCTATTGTGCAATTTGCTTCCATCTTTTCCAAAAAAATTCCCTCTGCAATATGAAAATACGAAAGCAAAACCGAACACGTTGTCATACGAAGTCCCTTTTTTTCGATACGCAATACCGTTCTTTTCTAGTTGATTATTAATCCCTTTAGTTACATAGTAATTATCTGGCTCTCTCCCATCCTGTGGTGTGGTTCACTTTATGACAGTAACCATAATATTATTTTATCTGAAAAAATAGGAAGAAAAAACAGATGTCTGTGACAGAGGTCATGACTACGGTGGCCATCAACTGTCCTTTATGGTTAATTTTTACAATTATTTGAAGTCTACTTGACCATTTCGTGCGCTAAAAAAGTGCTTTCATAGGACTCCGGCCTAGAGAGAGTTATTTTTTTGCACTGCTTGGCGAAGAAAACACGAAAAAATGTGGATTATTTCAGGGATATACGGAGATTGGAACCGATCTCGCCTACAACATGGTGCCACCAGCTGGAGCTTTCCACGAATTCTCCCCTCATCTGCATGCCTCTGATATGTCATCGCCAAGTTGCAGTGAATGACGACGACATTGCTGTACATGAAAAATCTGCAAATTGCCCTGCTTCTCGAAATGATAAGCGATCAACTGATGACGACATTGTGCAGCATTCTCAAATGGATGGAACAGAGATGGCGCTGTCTTTAGGGACTCTCAGTCGCAAAGCTCGCTTTCATCTTAGCCTGTTCAATGCTGAAATTTACCAAACCTATGTTGCATTCTAACCTATGCTCAGAGCAACAAATACCACTGGGCTAATATTGCTCGTAAGTCCCCTTTTCGCTATTGACAAGGATTACATAGTCCAAACAATGCTGGTATGCGTTTTGTCTGAATCTGAGGATGGCATTCGCTATCAAAACGTGCTTCTTCACTAAGAGAACGCTCTTCTCTGTCCTTCTCTGTGGACCAAGTTCAGCATCCTTTGCATGTGATACCCATGCATGACGTTCATTTCTAGTTTTTCTTCTATAGGTTGTGAATATATGGTATCAAAACGTTTAACAGTTATATTTCTTCCGCACAGAGCTTATTCTAATCATGATATACCGTTCTTCTTGCGCCTGCTATGGGACATTCGTTCGACATTTCCCATGACCCACATATTCTGCTCTCATGCTTTCTCATCTACTCACCCAAATGGGAAGCGTTGGGCAGTCAAGAGCCACGATATCCATAAAATGCAGCATCTGTATGGTATCATGCTAATAAATTTTATTTATCATTGTTAAATACTTGGTAGCAAATAAACAGTTGTGATTACCGTCATGATTGTGCTAAAAAATATCAGCGTCTTGTATCGCGGAGAACAAGCAACCAAAGGATATATGTGATTTTTAAAAACTAATACCTTAGTTAAAGGAGAAAGGATAAAGTTTTTGACGTTGATCAATCTCTTAGGGACGCGCTATGCAACTGACTTCATTAAGCATCGTTTGGAAGCGATTGAATGCATATCTGGCCTTTACAGTTACTCGCGGCAGCTTACCGGTGTGTCGAGCCAGTGCTGCTATCCTCCCAGATAAATCTGGTACAAATTTTCCGACCCCGGACGGATGGAAGATTTGGTGGGTCATAGGAGCGGAACGATTTCCACGCGTGTTTGTGTTGCAGGGCGCCTCCGACCACTGCCTCACACGCGCCCTTACACCTTAGTGTTCACAAAAGTGAGAAATTTGCTTGTGACATTAATTGAAAACGATGTGAGGTGCAAAGAGTAAAGGTGAACTCGAGAAATGTGCAAGTGATATAGTGCTAATAATAGAGTAGTGTCAATATTATACTAAAGAACTCTACAGTTTTTCTAGAAAGTTTTCCATATTCTAACTGGGACAAAAATCACTGAAGTGCTCGTTTAGCCCACGTAATTCATATAATTCATGTAATTTTGCTGGGAAACTGGACGAACATCACCTGTTCTTCCATCGATTGCCGAATGATTGAAGTGGAGCGATCGTCTCGGGTGGCGTGCTAGAGTTTGGAATGAGTAGAGCTAACTCGAGGGACATGAAAATCGTCACATATCTTATTAAGATTCTTTTGGAAGAACTTTAGCCAACGGGCCGATCGTCTTTTTGGCGCGCCTAACATCGCTTGGTACTTGTTCGCTAACAGCTTCTCTTCAGTAACCAGGACGTATTTTACCAGATGCTCTTGACTTCGCCATCATGACGTATGCGGCAATCTTGAAATCTTATCTTTGGTTGGAAATCCGGAGTATGTAAGAAGTCTGTATTTACTTTTCTTAGCTACGAATTTGAAAGACCATACCTGGGTGGATGGGGCAGACTTTGGCCAAGCTAGCTTCGGTATTCCAGGAAACCACAATGACTTAACCAGCAAATCTCCGAAAAATGGTGATTGTGCTGGGGCTCGCACAACCAGTGATGACGATCCTTTCAAGTATCAAGTGTCAAATATACTGGGTGGATACTCAAGTAAACACTGTTGCCCTGAAGAGGTGATTACAAATCAGCTACCATGTCAGAATGATAGGATTACACTCTGATTACCGTATTATGTAGACTGGCCTCATATAGAAAGAAAGAGACCATATAACTCAACTCATACAGACGAAATACGATCAGAACTATGCTTTGGCACAAAGGTTAGCTAGAGGCTTTGCCTATAGTCCACATCGTTTCCACTGAAAACATTTCTTGAAGGCATAGTTCTGCTATCAGCTCTGTGGGACCGACATCTAATTGGTCAAAAACATTTGGATAGATCAATGATAAATAAAAATCTAGCATCTCTTAGATCTAACCGACTAGTAAATTATGGAAGAGTAGACGTAAATCTGGCATTCCGCCTATGTTGTGCTTTCAGTAGCAGTTCACTGTCAACTTTATGAGATAATATAATATATAGTATAGTATATAAAGCAGCTATATATCTGCCAATGTCCTTTCTATTTGGAGGGAAATATGAACAATGTTATATCCTAAAAAGACAACTCTTTCCGCTCTGCTCAGATGAGAGGACGTCTGAACGGGCTAGTGACCCGAAGGTCTTCAAATCTAATCAGATACGATAAAAGGTGGAACAATGAACACATCGCGTACAGCAACAATCAATCATAAAATAAACCGAAACATGGAAAATCACAGAATAAACAGAAATAAAGGATTTGCAACAATTCAATTCGCCTCGTACGTTGATGTTAACAGAGAAGATAGCCTTGTATATCTATGTTCTTCTGTCCTGATAGAAGGATTGATGGAAGGAAAGAAGGAATAGAGTAAGCTATAGAAGAACTCCTGAACGCAGCATACAAGAAGCACCACCTTGTTGTAAATTCTTTTGTATTTCCTCCACCTCATCAAGTAAATAAACCCTAATAATGAGATACCATCAGAGATATTGATTTTCGGTTACATAATTAAAATCCGTGCACACATGCAGTTTGTCATAGTCATAAAACTGAGCAAAAGAAGAGTGTAATGACGTGCAGAAGACGCCTAGGTCTTTCCATCATTCGTCTCGTTTTCGACAAGCAGCGGCTTCCTCAAAGACAGTGTAAGACAAATGTCACCTGGGCCACCGATTTGGTCACACGTGCGAAATTTCTTCAACGGGGATTAAACGCACCGGTGGACCACTTGCTTATGATAATTAGTATCAAAGAGCATTTTAACTAAGCCCGAAATACCATATTGACCAAACTTTTGCTTAACCTTGGAGTGAATAATCAATTCGTTCGTTTGGATTTGTTCAGCTTACACTAGGTTCCTAAACCTGAAATATTTGTTTTCTATTCACTATGATAACATCCTTCTTCTTACTCTTTTAATTTTTCCCCGAAAATGTGCTAATTGGCCACAAAAGAAGAAGTGGTCTCAGGTGGAGAAGTTGACATATCGGCATTCAAACTTCTATACACCAGGCGAGATTCTCAGTTCATCTGTAACCAGCTTCATGCACAAGCATAGTCAATTGGCTACGACTTCAGCTCGCTACAAATGTTTAAACTGAACTTGAGCATGAACTAAACGATGTGTTACGAAAATTACAGGTGTTTTCTTAAAGCTCTCGAAATGATAAACTTGAGAAAAAGAAAAGACCACACTCGATGTTTTTTAAGGGGACGAAGGGATTTTATGAGCGGTTCAGCGTGAATTATGACAGTCGTTGAAATTTTTCGATGATTTTTTTCTCACCGTTTTCTCAGGAACAGTTGCTGACGTTATAATCATCGCACGAAGATGGTTTACTTTGTGAAGCAGAATGTACGAAAACAAGGGATCTAGCTCCATTTGTTCTAAAACCGTTTTTTTCTTCGTTCAAGGAGGTAGCCTTATAAACAAGAGATGCTTACTTACTTGATACTTGAATGGCCCGTCCTCACTGGTTGTGAGGGCCCCAGCATAATCTCCTTTTTCGAAGACTTGCTATTTAAGCCATCATAGTTCCCTGGAATCCTGAGGTCAGCCTGGCCAAACTCTGCCCCAAACAAGAGATCTAGTTTTCCAAATTGCTTTTGAAACTGCGTTATACAGCCTTTAATTTTCAGTAGCAGCTATCTTTGCTCAAGAAATAAAAATAATGCTGAAGAGATTACATGGAACAAAATGATGGTACGCACTCGGAGGCAGAGTTGTAGAAGAAAGTGTTCGCTTAAAAATGAACAGTGCATTTATCATTCACTGAGGTGTTGGCTTCATCATTAAAGGAATCCGTTTACTAACTATAAGCTGATTCAACAAGAAATGGCACAAAATTAGATATTTAAAAGCGCTTCATCTCCACCCCAAGATATATTGGACCATTTGTATCAGGTTTGACTTTTTAACTAACTGCGTATTCTCTTTTCATAACAGGGTACTACGTGAACTTCAACCAAAAAGATCCTAACATCTTAGCAAAACTATGAACCTTAGGTGGCCTTCAATGTAGTGACTACACAGCTAGGAGAAGGGCAAATCAGAGACCTCAGTTGGTTTGGTGGATAGCGCATGAGCTCCCGTAAAGGTGATCGAAGGTTCGAACCTTGGTTGATGTTCCAAATTTTCCTCGAAATTAAATGTCCTTGTGCTTGCAACTTGTACTCTACTTTTCAAAACCGGCCAGCGCTTAACCGCGGCATGAATAATTAACACACTTTTCTAGATAATTTAGCTTACCCAAGTTTGGCATAACTACAGTTTCACCGCCGTACGATCAATTCACGTGCAACACAGAACCAACTTAGTCTGGTGGATGCCACCTGTCCCGTATGTTGAACAAAACAACGTGATTTACAACCAGAGATGTGATAGTCTACTGACAATACATCATTCTTTCTTTCGCTACACACTGAACAAGGTCTCGAGAGTCGAAACGAGTGGTTGACCGGGATCAGTCATGAAGTTGTCGAGCGCCAGCAGGCAGCACTCACAACGAAGTCATCTAATGCACATCATACTTATTGATTAGGCACTTGTTTTTGAGTTTGTCTAAAATCTCTTGTAGAAATCTAACTTCTCGCTCGAAATCTATAAGAAGAGAAATAGCATTTCAAATATGTCTAGTCAACAAAGCACA